CCGGCGCCGGGCCGGAGCGCGGGGCCCTTCGCTTTCCACAAACCGGCGGCGGCGGGGCGGAAGGTCGCGGGCGGCGGGGCCCGGTGGCGGAAAGACGCGAAGTCTCTGCAGAAGTTGCCGGGCCATGTGGGGCTGGTGGTGACCGAGGAGGAGCAGAGCTACGCGGACGTCGCCAGCCTGGTGGTGTGGTGTATGGCCGTGGGCATCTCGTACGTCAGCGTCTACGACCACGAAGGTGAGTGGCCTCGGGGGGGGGGGATGGGGGTGGCCGCCGCCTTTTCCTCTGACTCCCACCCCACCCCGCTGCCTTTCCTATCCCGGCCCGCTTCGCTTTTGCCCTGCCGGGTCTGTGACCTTGCGCTCCGGGCCAGGTCGTCCGAAGAAGCGCTTTTTCCCCCGAAGACGTCTTTTTCCTCTCCTGCTGGCGGCTGAGCGTCCTTAGGTTTGCTTGGAGCTTCCTTGGGCGCAGGCGGTTTAAAGGGCGGTGTGGTGCATCCAAGCCATCCACTGCCCCAGGTTTGTCAGCCAGCAAGTTCTGCTTTTTGCTTGCTTCCTCCATGTGCTTTATCTTGATGGCCTATAAAATCTGATAGAAGTATTCCGTTTTTCTAGATATTATGCGCTTTCTTTTTGCTTGCTAGTTCATTTGTCTTACAATATCCGTTTAGATTACCTTTTAGAGGCAAATTGCTGTAGAATTATGTGTTGATTTCACAGTTCAGGGATTTGTCAGTTTAAATAGTAGCCCATGTTAAAATCCGTAATTCCCTGCTATATGATAGCATTGAGAATACAACACATTCTCAACATTTTCCCCCTTCCTGTACTAATTTTCCCATTCCCTTTACCTTGAATCAGGGATCTCCAAACTTTTCAGCGTGAGGGCCACATACAGTAATATATTTTCCACATTTTTGAGGGCCAAAGGAACATGTGTATGCCTGTGCGTGCACATGTCTGCATGTTTGTGCACATGGGTTGAAGGGAATGGACCTTAGCCTGTGGCATTCGCCGAGCCAGATAAAAAGGCAAGGCGGTCTAGATGTGGCCTGCGGGCTGTAGTTTGGAGACCCCTGCCTTGAATGATCAGCTATGGTTCTCTGTACCTTTAGTTTCTCTTACCTGTTCTTTCTAGCTTTGTACCTTTCCTGTGGTTTATAATTTCTTTTCAGTGTATCTTTATCATTCAGTCTAGGAATTTAATAACTTTTTCTATAAAGCTACCGTTCACATTATTTAATTTGTTAGAGACCACAACTCTCTGTTCTTTTGTAGATCAGAGAGTGCCTAACATCATGCAGTATGCTGATTTTAAGTTTTTGCTGCATTTTGCATTCTTTTTAAGAAGGGTACTCTTTGGTCTCTCATGGATACGATTTTACTTTTCATTCAATCATATGTACAAAGATACATTGGTCAACACACTCCATAATTTCATTTTAGACTACATTTCTTGGGCTGGTTGCTTCTTACTGATCACCATGAACTTGGCTTTCTTAACATGCAGTGATTGTTAATTTCTTTGTTTATTCTTTAACTTTTTCACATCCTTGCTAGATCCTACATTTATTTATTCATGATCTAAATGTCATTGAAGTTAGGGAACTTCTGAGAATATTTATGTAGGATTATATTGAAAGATGTTTATGGCACTGTGGCTGTATTTTGTGATGTTTTTCCCAAGGTAAGTTTGTGTACAGAACTGCACTCTTATTATGGCAAGAGCTTTTGTGGAAATAGGCCCACATCAGCAGATTTAGTATTGTAGGTAGTCTTTGAAGTGCCATAAGATTTCTTGCTTTGGCTGCAGGAAACTGAGTCAACTGTCTTTGGCATTCAAGTAGTTTAGAATCCATCAAAGAAAGAAAGGGGCCATGTTTCTTGTATCTTATCCTTTTCCTCTGACTTTTGCTTAAATGCCATGTGTTCTTGTGAAGTCATCTGCTGGTTATTATATCTAAACCCCCCTCCCCTTTATTTAGATACTCATACACAGCTTCAGTTTTCAGCACACATTGTCTCGAAGGACCTATTCAAGTTAATTTACAACTGGGGTTGGGACAGTGCTTGCACAAGGTACATGTCCTGGTATTTACAGTGAACACAGTATTAAGGAGTGGGCTTCTAAGACTCCCTTTGAGATCAGACAGCCACAACATTATCTCTGCTGCCTAAACAAGACCCAGAGTAAAGTGTGGAGGCAAACTTTGGTGTACTGCTGTATTTTGCAAGCCAGACCTAGCCAGTGTTGGCTGGCAGAGAAACACACTCAGAATTGTCCACAGCTGAAAGGAAAGGTTGAACCTCTTTTCCAGCGGTCAGCAAACATTTCTGCAGCACAGTGTAGAGACAGTCAGCTCCAGTGTCGTCTCTGCTTTAGGAGTTCACCATATTTGTGCTGGGCTAATGAATCCTCCACAATTGAATACAGTAGAAAAGATTGTCAATTTTTGCATCACCAACTGTCAGAAGAAGGAGGTCCTCTGCTTGTCAGATAGTCAGTAATGTATCATTTTCCAAGGCTCTCTGGACATGCTTATATCAAGTCAATTTAAATCAGCAAGAAAAACATCCAATTTTATTTATGTTATTTGTAGGTTGCCCTGTAACAGTTTCAGTAATACAACAAAACAGATGAAGAGCAATAAGTTGTTGGATTTACATCCCGTTTTCCATTTAGCAACATATATTTTCTGAATGATATTATTGAATCAAGAAGGAGGGGGTTGGTTGGGCCCAGGTTGGGCAAATTCCAATTTGGGAAAGGTTTCAGAGGACATTCCAGTAGTAAGTAATTCTAGAGGTATGAGATAGGACCAGCCACAGAAATCACCATATGAGTGGGGCAGGATGTAATTATTAATTTCCATTCTGCGTATGTCTGTTCAAAAGTAAGCCTTCATGCAACAGATTTAAGACATACATAATGCAGTTTGTGTGTGCTCAGAAGGAATGTAGTCCAGTATCCTACTGAGTTTCTGCTGAGCATAAAGTTCCAAGCATTGTGATTACAGAAATGGAGATTGGAATGAAAAAAAAATCTGGCCTCCGCTTATGCAACAGTAATACTTGCGCAAGTGCTGTAATCCTGCATCATTACACTTGTGGGCTCAAGCTCAGTAGCCTACTGGCCTTAAAGTTTACGTAAATGTTTTCCTGTTGGGGAGAACATTGCACTTAGAGTTCCCTGCCTTCAATCCATTCATACCTTTGAATACTGGTCAGAATGTTTCTCTGCACTGGTGTCTGGGAAAGTCTGTCATTCTTCAACATTAAGCAAGAAAACCTCAGGTCTTCTCTCTAGTCAGTGATCTAAGACAAGCTCAGGCCTGCATGAGGGGCAGGAGCTGTTGGACAAACTCAGAAATAGCTTTCATGACCCAGGT